GATATACCAGACTTTAAACTATACTATAGAACAATAGTAACAAAAACAGCATGGTATTGGCACCAGAACAGAGGACACAGAGACTAACCCATTAAAATTACAATTATCTTATATTAGACAAAGGTGCCAAGAACATGCATTGGAGGAAAGATAGCCTCCTCACCAACAAATGGTGCTGGGAAAACCCATACCTCTCACCACACACACAAAAAACAAAACAAAACAAAAAACACCTTAAAATGTATCAAGGACTTAGGAATACAACCAAAGACCCTGCGTCTAATAGAAGAAAAAGTAGGCCCTAATAGCCATCATGTGGGATTAGGCCCCAACTTCCTTAATAAGACTCCTGTGTTGCAAGAATTAAAATCAAGAATCAATAAATGGGATGGATTCAAACTAAAAAGTTTCTTCTTAGCAAAAGAAACGATCTGTGAGGTGAATAGAAAACCTACATCCTGGGAGCAAATTTTTAACCCTCACTCATCAGATAGAGCACTAATTTCTAGGGTCTATAAAAAAAACTCAAAAAGCTAAGTACCAAATAACCCAATCAACAAACGGCCAAGGACACTTCTCAGAAGATATACAATCAATAAAATACGAAAAAATGTTCATCATCACTAGCAATCAGAAATGCAAATCAAAACTACTTTTAAGATCTCATCTTACTCTAGTCAGAATGGCGGCTATTATGAAGACAAACAACAATAAGTGTTGACGAGGACGTGGGGGAAAGGTACACTCATACACTGCTGGTGGGAATGCAAATTGGTACAGCCAATATGGAAAACAGTATGGAGATTTCTTGGAAATTTGGGAATGAAATCATTTGACCCAGCTATCCCTCTCTTCGGACTATACTCGAAGGACTTAAAAACAGCATACTACAGGGACACAGCCACATTAATGTTTATAGCAGCTCAATTCACAATAGCGAAACTGTGGAACCAACCTAGATGCCCTTCAGTGGATAAATGGATAAAAAAAAATGTGGCATATATACACAATGGAATATTACTCAGCAATAAAAGAATAAAATCATGGCATTTGCAGGTAAATGGATGGAGTTAGAGAAGATAATGCTAAGTGAAGTTAGCCAATCCCAAATAACCAAATGCTGAATGTTTCCTTTGATGTAAGGAGGCTGATTCATAGTGGGATAAGGAGTAGGAGCATGGGAGAAATAGATGAACTCTAGATAGGGCAAAGGGGTTGGAGGGGAAGGGAGGGAGCATGAGGTAATTAATGATGCTGGAATGTGATGATCATTATTACTCAAAGCACAGGTATGAAGTCACGAATTGGTGTAAATATATGTATACAATGAAGATATGAAAAATCGTGCTCTCTATGTGTAATAAGAATTGTAATGCATTCTACTGTCATATACAAAACATTAACTATAGCTACTACTAGAGTAGTATAGTAAAACAGTATACTATAGTAATTATTTAAAACTTTAGGAATTTGTTTCTAGAATTTTCTACTTTTTTTGGAGCTCACTTACTATGGGTAGCTACACAGTGGAAAGTAAAAGATGGATAAGGGAGGATTGCTGTGATTTGCATGTCTGGCATTCAATGTTGTGGGATCAAATGTGAATAAAACAGACTACTCCTGGTACTTCAGGGAAACATTGTATACGGAGGAGGCCACTATGAAAAAATAACAGTGCATGATACCAAGGCAGTGGATCCTATGGCAATCCCAGGGGAAGGGATTGTTGAAAAGCAACAGACCAAGTGTTTTTTTCAGAGGAAACTGCTTGTAAAAAGTTTGAGAGGGGACAAGACTCGTGGAGAATGGCAAGCAGTTACCTTGGGTTGGAACATGGAGAGCCAAAAGGACAGGGGAATGGAGGTGGCCATGGTAGGAGACACAGCTGCATAGTTAGCAGAGACCAAGTTGTGAAGACCCTTGTAAACCGGGTCTGGTTGTTGGTGGAGGGTGTTCAGTGAGTACTGTTTATATCTATGTTTCAAGCTTATCCCCTCAGCATAATTTAATTAACTTGCCAGCATTTATGGAGGACCTGCCCTGTGTTAGCCTTTTATTTAGAATACACTTAAAAAGTGAGACGATCTTATCAGACTGCAATGCTCTTAAGTCTAAGGTTATTTCCCTGTACAGAACTGAAGGAGAAATGGGCTGCATGTTAGGATGGAGATGGCCTGAGTGTGCAGTGTTGGTGACACTTTGAGCTACCTGCAGGTTCTGAATTTCAAGGTGCTGATTGGCATCAACCTCCATCTAAGCCCTGCACCTCCTTTACATGACTTGTGAGACCCAAAAGCTTTGATGCACTCTCCTACTCCAACCTCTGCTGGATCTCCTAGTTGCTACTTTTCGATTGTAGCTTTGACCTTTCTGAGACCAGGGCTTTCCACAAGTCTAAGCATCTTGCTTTGATCCCTGACCTCCCACCTCTTTTGTCAGATAATCCCAGCTAAGCTGCCACCTGTGCCTTATGCATGATGGGTACCTATGGAAAGGGTCATGACGCCCAGTTTGTCTCGCACCAACTTGACGATCATACTCTTCTGAAGCGGGGTGCAGCGGCAACACAGGACAGACCGGCAATACTGGGTCAGCTCCAGAAACAACTTCTCCAGCTTTCCCTGGAAAATGACATTCAGCGTCTTCCCATTGATGACCAGTCCAACTTCCGGAGCCATAGCTCTGGTGGTGGGGGATGGTGTCTTAGGAGGGAGGCGGAAGCCAAAGAGCTTGCAGCCTGGCTTCTTTGGCTCCTGGAACTGCTTGACCTCTTCCAGTGCACAATTGAGGATGGATTCGCAGGTCTCCTATACACAGTGACAGGATATGGTTATAACATAGCGAGCAACCTTGCAAATGTATGTTAAAATTTTCATTTTTATAATAACAATTTTACTACCCTAGGTATGACCCGGTAGTTGTTCTCCAGTGTTTACCTTTTCTGCAATATTTTAAATAGCACCAAAGCAATATTAACTTGAAATCAAATAATGGCCAAAACAGACATTGCTTGAGAAGTGGAAATAACTCAGCAAGATGAAGACTGATCCAAGGTTGGTTTAAGATAAATAATGCTAATATGATGGTAAATGATGACAATATTTCATGCAGTTATGGGACTATTTTTTTTTTTTACGGGTCATTTCAGTGCTCTTTGCTTCTTAGAGCATCCTTATGGGTACAACATTTAGAGATGAGATTGAAACAGTGAGCTCTCAAGTGATTCACCCAAGGTCATCCAAACACAGTAGAGGAGGCAGGGCCATTACTACCCAAATTGTGGCTTCCTAGTTAAAAAGAACACATCAGCTGGCACAGTGGCGCATGCCTGTAATTCTAACTGGGGGAGAGGCTGAGGCAGGAGGATCACAAGTTCAAAGCCAGCCTCAGCAACAGCGAGTGACCTGCCACAGGCAAGTGACTCACCCAAGGTCATCCAAACACAGTAGAGGAGGCAGGGCCATTACTACCCAAACTGTGGCTTCCTAATTAAAAAGAACACATCAGCTGGCACAGTGGCGCATGCCTGTAATTCTAACTGGGGAAGAGGCTGAGGCAGGAGGATCACAAGTTCAAAGCCAGCCTCAGCAAAAGTGAGGTGATAAGCAACTTAGTGAGACCCTGTCTCTAAATAAAATACAAAATGAGGGTGTGGCTCAGTGGTCGAGTGCCCCTGAGTGCAATGCCTGGTACCAAAAAATGAAACAAAAACCCCACATCTACCCTGGATTTGTTTTTATCTATTGATCTACTCCATAAAAGGTCATAAGAACTGTTGCATGAAATGTTGCTCACTTTGATTTGGACAAAACATCCCTGTGAAAGTCTTATGGTTTGGAGGAATCCCCTTGGTATTTACTTTGAAATATAGTGAGGAAGTCATTTATTCATAAGTGTTTTCCATTACTTTTGACTATATCAAAGATAAAATCAGATTTTGGTTCTCATTATATTCTTAATATCTCTGTAATGTCTGAAGAGGCTGTGGAAGACAGTAGTATTAATTTTAGCAGCATTTCTTTATTCATATGGTAATTAGTGTTCTTTTATACAGGGCAAGGGATAATACTTTTTTCATTTATTGAAGTGCTAAAATTTTATTCTAGCTGGGTTGCAGGGGTACACGGCTGTAATCCCAGCAACTTGGGAAGCCGAGGCAGGAAGATTGCAAGTCTGAGGCCTGTCTCCAAATGAAATGTTAAAATAAGGGGGGCTGGGGTGTAGCTCAGTGGTAGAGTGTCCTTGGGTTTAATCCCTAGTGTTCTCCGCCAACTCCCACAAAGTAATTATTCTAAAAATAAATATTCAAATGTGTTGATTTAAACGAAACAATTAGAAACAATTCAGATCATATGCAGATATCAGCAAAACTTGTGAAGTTAGTTCTGAAGTGACAGGTCTGTGGGATATTGTTAAGAGTTCTATCTGGGAATGTCTAGAATACATTCTAGAGCAAATGCGGCTGTAGCTGGTTGTTCCCAAGTTTTTCTTTAGGAGATAGTAAATGTTGTGGTATTCACAGAGCCCAAAGAAGCCACAGGAAGTGGTTCCAGGAGCAAGTGGTTGTATTAGAGGCACTTATTTAGGAAAGAACACAAGGTGGTCCTTTCTGGAAGTGGGGTTGGTATTGATTATATAAATTTCTTCAATGTATGTCTTCAGAAAGGCATTATAAATGTCAGTCTCGAAAATCAAATCTCTTGACTTGCTTATTTCCAAGGTATTAATTACAATAGTGACTATTCACTGTCAAGTTTTGATGGAGGCCAATTCCTAGGGAATGCCCATGTACTGGTCCTCATGCCCTCGCATAATCTCTTTCCACTGAGTGTGAATCAGATCTACCTATTCCTTTCTAATGAAGAAGAATTCCACAAAAAAACGAAGAGGTGTTACTCTTTCTCATTCTATAGGAAAGATTTGCCTTGGAAAAAACGTTGCTGTGTTGTGTAGCAGCTCTGTGGAGAGGCCCAAATGGCTAGGAACTGAGGCCTGCTGACAATCACGAGTGGACTTGGAAGCAGGACTCTTCTTACTCCCAAACTACCTAACCAGCTGAGCCTCTAGATGAGTCCAGAGCCCTGCTGGCTTGATTACAACCTCAATAGAGACCTTGAACCACAGGCACCCTGTGAGGATGATGCTTCTGGAAGTCTAACCCACAGGCTCCTACATCCCTGTTTCAGTTGCTAAACTGTGGAGTAATTTGTTATACAGCAATAGGTAACTAGTATTGGTTACTATAAGTGAGTGCTTTTCTGTGGTCATATTTAATTCTTCCAGTAGCCTCTTAAGTAAATATTTTAAACCCTTTTACACAGATTAGGAGAGTGAAGTTCAAAAGTAGCGTATTTAGACTGTTAATCTGCACTACAGGTTGTTAATAACAGCAGTTGTTGTTATTAGTCCCTTTAAAAATTTCTTGACAAATTAACATTTCTGGGGATGACTTAGTATTTCCCTCATTTTATGGATGAGAACCCTGAGGTCTAGATAGGTCTCAGAATTTGCTTATTGCTTTAAGGTACGTAGGAAAGACACAGTAGCCCTAAATCAATTTATAATGAATCAGGCAAATTAAAACCCTTGGAGAAAATATCCACTGAATAAGTCATTACATTAAATGGGGGTTTAAATAAATCTAAGATTTAGAATGTATTTTTCCAGTTTCTGGCTTGACATATTTACGTACCTACTGCTTAATCCCAGGCAAGGGTGAAAAAGACATATTGCAGGTTTAGTGGCACAGGGATAAGGATTCAGGTATCATGTTGAGAGTCCTGGACAGTGGTAAAAGGACTGACAGTATGGAATTAAAGATTCCATGACTGAACTAACTACTTGGAGTGTGACCCACTGTTTCTTGGGAACCTGGGCTTCCAATGCAAAAAGAATGCATTGCATTTAAGAGAATCCCACCCCTCCCCTTCATGTTGGCCACCTCACAGATTTGCATGTGTCTTACTTTCAGAAATCAAGGGTGTGTGGGGGGGAATGACAGAAGGATGGATCATGGCAGACAATTTCCTATTGCAAGCAGGACTGGCAAGAATCAATACTATTACAGAGATCAAGCACTTAAACAAGCTGAAAATCACCTTTTTTTCCCTAAACATAATACTAAAGCTATGGTTTTACATGAGAGTATTTTCATCTTCAAAATTCATTGGTGTTTAATCAAGCATAATCTGGGCATCTGACAGAAAAGGATTAAAAATAATCTAAAGGTTCTCAGGCATTCTTCACGGTATACTGTGTGTGTATGTGTTTTCAAATACTTGTGCATGGAATAAAAGACAAATATCAAACTTCCCAAATTTTCATTCTAGGTCCAGAGTGCACTTAGGCAAGCTGAAGGAGAGAGGCCAGTGTCCTCATTTTCCCATTTCCTGGCTTCTTTAATTCCTGGCCTTCCTCCTCCATCGTTTTCCCCATGGGATGCCCACCAGCCTGCCTAATCCAATCCCTGCCCCCTTAGACAAGTGTGAACGTCTCCATGCTCACCTCTCAACCTTCTTGCCAAGAAGATGCATTGTGAAAATAGATTTTGCCTCCTAAATGCAAAATTGTATAAGAGCATGGAATGTTTTTCTTCCCATTTCACACAGCACTTTCCTGAACCTCACTTCCTGCCACCCACAACTTATATACCCTACTTTGGTTGAAAATTGCCTTCTTTCTCCTCCTTCACCATCAAAACACTGGATTTGCATTATTATTCCTTTGGGGTTTCCACTCCACGACATAAAAATTGGCGCTGAAGCTTTAAACTTGGAACAGTTTCAATTTAATTGTGACTATTCTGACGTGTGAATTAATGTTGTAAGAAACTTAAAAATGTGATTCTTGAGTAAATAGTGTTTTAGAGTGTAATAGCATTAGCCCAGCAGGAGAATGGAGTTCTGGCCTTAGTTTTAACAGAAACTAGAAAGTGAATGAGCCTTTGGGATTGTCTTTAGTTTCCTCGTCTGTAAAACGGGGAAATTGGACCAGAAATGGAATTTGGGAGAGATACAACTAACTTTTTTTTTGGTGCCAGGGATTGAACTCGGGGGTACTTGCCCACTGAGCCACATCCCCAGCCCTATTTTGTATTTTATTTAGAAACAGGGTCTCCCTGAGTTGCTTAGCACCTTGCTTTCGATGAGGCTGGCTTTGAGGAGAGGTACAAGCTTGTAATATTGGAGGTAACACAAAAGATCAGACAACATGTGGGGGCATATTAAGCTGTGTGATCCAGCCGTATTTTGGGATCAGATATGTTTTCCCTGTGTGCCCAAATCTTACCTATGAGTCTTTCTCCTGTTGACTGGGGTGAAGTTCTATATTTATCTGTGATTTCCTACTTTGGTCTTACCTGATTCTCAGTATTAATGGAGTAAACGGTGTCGGTCTGATCTAACAGTCTGCAGGAATACGCAATATTGACCGCTGTCTCTTGCTTATCTCCTGTCAAGACCCAGAGCTTGATCCCAGCCTCCCGCAGAGCAGCAATTGTGTCTGGAACTCCTTCCTGCAGCCGGTCTTCGATCCCAGTGGCTCCTGGAGTGATCAAAGACACCATAGATCACATTTATGGTGAAATAGTGGCTTAAGTTCCCCAAAGCCCTATGAAGCAAGGCAATGTTTATTAAATGTTATTAATATGTGCTAGGTCAGGCACCCAGGGTCAACAATGAACTGGGTAGAGCTGGTTCCTACCCTCTCAGAAATCAAAGGTCAATGAAGAAGGATTTATAACTGAGCTAGGTGATGAGAAAAGGCCAATGTGCCCTGTACGTATACACGAGGAGACCTGGACTTCACCTAGGAGGTCAGGAAAGGCCTTGCTGGGGACATATCGAAGATGAAGCGAGAGGTATAGCCAGGGAGGAAGAGGAGGGCTGCGGGCAGAGTCCGTCAGCCTTCCTCCTTGAGGGGTTTGCAATTTATTTGGTGGCAACGAGAGTTATTAAAGGGTGTTAACTTGGAGAGGGACAGGATCAGTTTGTGTTTTAAAATCATTCTAGAGAATGGATTAGGGGTTGGAGGAAGCAAGATGAAATTCAGGGCTAGCAGTTACTTAGGCGGTTGAGCTGAGTACAGGGGAGAGGTTTTGGTGATCCAAACTGTCACAAAGAATGGGGAGAAGTAGAGACACTGAACTCTTTGTAACTGATCATGCTGGAATTAACAGATATTTTTTATAACATACAGGCAGATTTCACAATTTTTGAAGGATCTCAAGCTTTGCATCAATCCCGATGAATATATATCCAAATATTGAATAGTTGCTAAGTGATGAAGCAAAAATAAATCTGCATTTAAATTGAGATTCATTTCAGGCCACAGACTAATGGCTACCCATCTCGCTCTGGGCAGAAGCAAGGCATTTTGTTTCTTTTAATAATCCAGAGTGATAATAGGCTGGCAAAGCAGTTACATTGGATGCATATTGAAGAGATCATTTCATATTAGGGGACCCAGTGTGCAGACAAGGCAGCTTCTTAGTGGCATGCCAGTTTCTTGGTGGCAAGAAGAAATCCCTCCTCAGCCCAGTCCTCCACTTTCCAAGCTATCTTGAGGGGAGAAAAGGAACCTCTCTGTCCCTAAATGTGCCTGTTTTGTGTTTCAGGTTGAAAAGTGACAGCATGAGCCTCATCTTTCCCTCCCAGGGTGAGTCTGCAGGTGAGCTTCTGAAGATGACTTATATGACGGAGAGGAAGAAAAACACAAAAGAGAAAATGAAATGGGAAGGAGGCCAGTGGGTTCTGACAAGCTCTCACTTGGCAGACCAAGCTGACAGACGCTTCTCGCCACCTGGGGCCATAGTGCTACCCAGAAACCAGAGAGGCCCCTTGGAGGGGCAACTTCAGTCCCCTTTTATAGTTGATAAGTTTCTGGCTACTACTAAGTGGCTCTGGTTCCGCTTAAAAGAACCTTATAAGGCAGCAAGCAAAGGCTTCTGTGGCCAAGATACAAGAAACTAAAGACCCAAAGAGGTAGGGAACAGTTCTCTCCCCTTGCTTGCTGGCTGTTCAAGTAAATCTTGTTGCTACCTTTTATATGAAAAGGTGCATATTCTTAGAGCCCAAGGAAAAAAACCAAAGTTGCTATGCTTGGCTGGGTACTCAAGAGATATTTGTCTAGAGAAGCTAAGGTGCAGGGATGTGTCACTGGGCATACAGCAAGGTCATGACAGGGCTTGAACTTGGCCCCCATCCTCTGGTCACCATTACTTCCCTGTCAGTGTATGCTGTCAGACATTGCCTTGGCAAGACCTTGTTCCCAAGGTCTGATTAATAAAGTTACCTCTTTTGCAATGCTTTTCTTATAGTAGGAATACAACCTATCTTTTAATTAGTCTTGGGGCTTCTTATCTTCCCCCAGTATATCAAATCTACGTTCCATATATCAGTAGTCAGGGCAACTTTTGTAATCCAAGCCTTTCTCCCTCCAAACATTTAGCATCTGATTCATCTAATCCTTCACAGCATGGAACCCACAGCTCTCTCTTACCTCTCATCAATTCTTCCCCCGCATTTTGGTCCAGCCACAGAGAATCTCATATCTGGGCCTTCATTTGGGTCCTTTCAGTTAATGGTCTTCCTAGGCCCTCCTTGGCCCAGGGGTCAGGTTAGTACCTCCTACCTGTACTTCTATCTCATCTGGTACCTCTTCCAGCCCAGCTGTTATCATTTGTTCAGAGTGAGGAAGTTACTTGCCTAAGGATTCAGTATCAGGATAAGGGCAGAGTTGTGGCTCTTGCTTTCTGTTGTAGCCCCAAAGCCTAGCATGTTGCCCAACCTTTGAATGGACAGAAAAATGTGCTCTTTTAGAAAGAGCCAAACTCGCAGGCTTCTTCCAGCAGAGTGTGTAGGAATACTCCCAGGCCTCCTCAGGAACCTTGGGTTGGGTAATGACATGGCCCATTTATGCCAAATCCCTGGAAGGGTACCCAGGGAAGGCTGCTAATTGAGACAACTCCATAGTGGCATCAGAATCAGGGCCAAGAACTCCCTTCCAACTTAGGGAATTCCTTTTTTTTTTTTTTTTTGTATAATGATAACTTATTTTTAGCTACCCAGTAAGGTGAGTTGATTCTCCAGACGCTGTGCTGTCTCCATTAGAAGCTCATCTCTGTTGTCAAGGGATGCCTCGGCCTCACGCCGGAAACTCGCCCATCTCCTGAAGTCTTCTTCACTCACTACCTTCAGGACAGAAAGAGGTTTGTTAATAACTGTGGGTGGGTCAGCAAGTAGAATCCCTCCTCTCACATCTGCAAGGCCTGTTTGAGCTGCATGACATCATCAGATGGGGCGCTCTCTTCAGTCAATGAAAGATTGATCTGTATGTTCTTATACCACCAAACATCTTTGGAGTCCCCAGCCTGCTCAGGGCACTGGAGATGATCAGGCAGACAAGGTCCTAGAACTGGGCTAATGTGCTGGTGGAAGATAAGAGACATTAGATAGGTAAATTAAAAGATTCCTTTCAGGAGTACTATGCAGACAGTGAAAAGGATGATATCATGGAGTGTGATGGGGTAAGAGGGAAAACTGGGATAGAGGGCTGTTCAGGTCTATTCTACAAGTGGCAGGCAAGCTAAGATCCAATGATGAGAAAGGGTCAGCCCTGGGAAATTGCAAAGCCTGGGTAATAGGAACGAACTTGGCCTTGAGTATATCTGTTGGTGGAAGGATGAAAAGTAAAGTTGCAAGGGACCAAAAACAAGGCTGGAGAGAAGAGGACAGCCTTATTTTACACAGTCTAGGGACCACTCTGCTAGGCCTGCTGTCCTACACACAGGTGCATTTCTTCTTCCCTCAGAGTCCATTAGCACTTGTTGACCCTACTTTTTATGTGATATGCATTCTCTTATATAGATTAAGGATTCTTTTGCCCATGCACCAAATATTCCCAGTCCCTGTGTGGAACATTATAGCACAAACCCACAAGACCCAGGTAGGCCTTTTGATTTTGAGGAATGCACAGTCTATTAGCGGGAACAAAATATGCACAAATAACTTTAGAAGGTGGTAAGGGTATAATCCTAATTCAGAGTAATAAGCACTTATTACTGTCCCTGGCACTATATGTGCATTAGCCTTAGTTAACCAAATAAGATAGACAGCATTTGCAACATTTTGCTCCAAAACAAAACACCATCTCAGGCAAGGAAACATGTTCAAGGTTATATATCCAAGTGGAGACTGGGACTTGCACACAGGGAGGTCTGGCTTTGAAGCAAGAATTTTTGATCTCTATGTTGCACTAAGCATAATAAAAGAAATGAGGAGCCCTGGGGATTTAGGGAGGAGAAGCCACCACCTAGCAATGCATGCCCATCATGGCACTCCTACCTGCCAGATGCCCCCCCCCCCCTTGCAATTTGCATCCCTCTTGCTCCTACATGGGCCACAAAGATCTGTGGAGCATGGGGTGTGTAATCTACATAACAATTACTAGGCCCAGGGTAATTCAGCAGAACATTGCTGAATGTGTCCCTATGTCCCTCATCATGGGAATCACCTGCTACACGCTTTTTTTAGCTGACATTCAATAGAGACCCAGATCCTCTAAATTTTCAAGAGAAGCCAAACATTTAGACTCTATGTGAACACACAAACGTCCTCACAATTTAAATCCAGGCAAATAATGCAAAATTTTAACATCGAGTTATAGGTTACTCCTTACGCGTACAATGAAGAGCAGAGAATGAGGAAAACCACACTGATACGGGATCTTGCTGCTCCAATTTCTGCAAAGTCATGGATTTTTGTGACAAAAAAAAATGCAAAAAACCCCACAACACTAAGCATCTTTTATAAAGAGACCAAAGCAGGACTAAGGCCATTGAGCTACCTGATGATACTCAAAGCATGCCTGGAGGAATGTGCTCTCACCTTCTTGGCGATGCACAGGGTACGTAAACCATCTCTTGCATACAAGTCTAGATGTTTTTGGGTCCGGGCGTGGATCTTCTTCAGCTTCTTTTCCACATCAAGGTCAGGCACTGTCAAATAGTCATCATTTCCCATAAGACCATGCACAAAAATGCTTAAGAATCCCATCCCCTGGGATCTCCTCAGCAGAGACATTCCAGCAATAGCACTCCCTAGGAACATCTAGTAGAACTCTCCTGGCTGTCAGGTTGCCCTGGAAGATAACTCCAAGAGTCCTTAAATTGTCAGTTCTCTACATCTCATCGAAAGCCTAGCTAGAAAAAGTGTTATTTAAGGAAAGCGGGTCCTTACGGTATTGTTCTCAAACATCCATTAGCATGAAAATCACCTGGAACTTAAGGGAGATTTCTAGGTCCTGTGGAAGCCGTGAAGTGGGACCAGAAGTCTAAATCCTTGTTTACACCTAAGGTGGTCCTGACTTTGTTCTCTATCCACAATCTTGTCATCTGCTTTGTTCCTGTGTTGTGTTAGGTCTCAAAACAACTAGAACCTGCATCTCATGAGTTAAATCCATCACCACAAGAGTTCTTGTTCAATTAGGCTTGATTTCTATATAGGAGATGATCTTACAAAAAACATTTTTTTTTTTTGCATTTCCTGTAAATCTAGTCTGAAAAAATATTTTGGTGGGTTGTTCAAAGTCTCCTCTGTGAAGTTCTACATAATAAATTTCTTTCAGAAGTCATTTGTCTTTTTCTCTTGAAATCCTAATACTTTAATCATAAAATGCAAAGCTTTCAAGCCTGGGTTGGCTGGTGTGGGGTAGGATCCCAGTCCTCACCACTTCCTTGGTCTAATTATCACTAATCAATCATTTGCCGCACTCTGTGAAGCTAAGCTTGGAAGACTTCAGAATCTGCCTTTAGCAGGGCTGGATTGAGAGCTCTAGAGGTCCTAAGTAGTGAACAGAATATGTGCATCTCATTAACCCTACAGACAATGCAAAATTAAAAATACAATTCTTAATAGTGGCACAAGCATAAAGCCCAACAAAGCTCTGGTTTTCTCATAATATCACTTTGAGGCTGTTTTTTGATGCTATAAAAATCCTTCCAACTATTATTTTCTCATTGCCCAGGTGCCTGAAGCACATCTCATTTGGGCATTGCCTTACAATATTTTATTTTGAAAGACACCAGTGCTTGAGATTAAACCTTTGTCTTCCATTCATGAGACTTTGAGTTTACCTTTTTGCTGAGGCTGCCAGGAACCTCATAGTCAAACTGAATGTTCAAACACTGGAAGTATATTAAAAACGGGGTTAGAAATCTATTAATATTTTCCCCCTTTCAAAGTTTTCTTCTCATTTCTTACAGTAACATTGTTGTTCATTGGAAGCATCTCTAATTCACTTTGCAAGCAGGTGAGGAACAAATAAACATCTCCAAGGTAACTTGGATGGCTGTCACCCAGAGATAGAGGACTGTGCCTTCTTCAATTCAGAAGCACTGAATTTGCTTGTCTGCCAGAGTCTGGAGATGAAGAGAACTAATTAGCTCCCTTCCCATTCTAAACACTAATCAATCCCCACGAACCTCTTGGCTGTGGTCCACAGCTGATAATGCAGGAGGCGCAGGGCTGCCTGGGCAATTCTGAAACTTGGCTGGAATCTACTATCCTGGGAGAATCATGGCCCATAACTGTCTTCTCCTTGTTAGCAATCAGGAAGTGGCTGCACACTAATTCATGCTGCTCCAAATTTGGACACTGATATGTAGGGACTTTGGAACATTTTTCTGGCTCAGCACAAGTTTATGAAAATCCATCTGGGAGAGGCTGGGGGAAAAGGATGATAAGGAGGGACCCTTGAGGCTTCCCATAGTGAACTGAGCCCAGTGCAGGGTTCTGGAAGATGAAAAGAACATACACTGGGATCCAGGACCCTGGATTTAATATTAGCTAACCCTATAATCTCTCCAAGTCACTTCTCTCCCTGGGTTGAGTTGGAGGCTCTCCAAAGGGAAGGGTGAGGAGCCCATTGTGTTCTAGGTTTGTTAATGGATATTCTGATGTAACAAAAAAAAAATTGCCTGTGGATAATCCATGTGTGAATGAGTTTGGAAAACTAGACGAGTTAAAGAGCCTTCTCTATTACGAGACTGTAGAGAGTCTTTAATACACCAATGAGCAATGATTCTCCAGGTCACAGTGATGTAAAATACAGTGTGTCAAGGACCTTGCTTTGAGAACATCTTGTGGGCCTGTATTCTAGTTGAGGCCTGCTGGACAAGGTGACACTACAACTTGAGCTCACTGCCATCGGACACTGCCCATCAAACCTCAGAGCTCTCTGTCCCTGGAGCCCTAGAAGGTGTGACTCACCGTGGGCTGGGTCTTCCAGCAGGTCCATGATAACTGAGTCTGCTCCCTTGGTGTAGACGATGATCTCACCGGTCAGCGGGTGCCTCACAACCACAGACATTCTCTTCCTGACAGAGTCAAAGCCCAGGGTGAAGAGGAGGTCAAAGGTGAGGCAGGTGCCCTGGGGCAGACGCACAGTCACCTGCTCAGGTGTCCGGGACACCAGCGTGAAGCTATAGGCATGAGCAGCATGCACCAGGGCTGCCTCGTCGGGACTCTCGGCCTCGTAACAGAACTCGGGGCTGGTCAGGCTGAGAGCTGGGGCCCCTGGTACCTCCTCCAAGGATGCCCCTGACTCGGACCCCAGGATGTCACCCTGGTCCCACGTGCTGCTCCTGTAGCCGCCATCCGTGGAGCAGTCTCCACTGCACACGGAGGCATCGTCTTTCTCGTCTGAGTCTGTGGGGGGCATGTTAGCCCCGAAACTCTCCCCCAGGTCTGTGTCAGAGGGCACAGTGGATGAGAATGACTGGCTGAGGCTCATTAGCTTCAACCTCTGGAAGAGCTGTTGGATCTTCTCCAGGGACATCCCAAGAGCCTTGCTGGAGGGTGGGATGGTGACCTGTGGTCAGGAGGAAAGTCGAGCATTACATTTTGAGAACACTACCAAGCTATTTCATGCGGAACAGAAAGACAATTTTGCATTAAGAGGACTATCTGGGCCTGCTGAGATCAAGGGCAAGTTTCCTCTCCTCTCTGGGCCTCATCTTACCCACTCACAAAATGGGAGAACTCAAATATTTCCTTCCAGGCCTGACAGTCTATGGGGTGAGAGTGCCCATTTCCCTTTGTCATTCCTCTTTGATCATGGACATAAGAAAGAGACGAGGAGATGAAATTCAGGCACTATCAATATTTTGGTTTATGGATGAGGAAGCCCAGGCACCAAGGGGTTAGATAAACTAGCTGAGATCAACCAGCGTGTTGCTGGCAGAGCTGGGACTCGTGACCTAGGACTGCCTGACTCCAGAGATTGGGCTCTTGAGGTCTCTGCCAGCTTGAGTCCCCCCTATGAATTTGAAAACTGAGAGTTGGATGCTGTCTCTTCCAAAATGGTAGGCACTTCCTCCCTTCTCAAAATAATTTCTCAGATAATGTTTTTTGACTCCCAAATCTCCCTGAAAACTTCTGATCACGTGGTGATTTTTCTGGGGGCCAAAGCGACTTCTCAGGGTAGTTGGGCATCTGGGCATCTTAAAGGAAGGTTGTGGTTTGGTGCTTGAGTGAATTCCCTCCTCTTTATTTTGTAACTGCACATTATATCGCCTAGTTATTCTCATCACAATTCCCCAGCAGGGAGTGTGGTGAAGAGTTTGTGGATAATTGAAGACGAATCCACTTTGGTAAATTTCAAAGTAAAACTTGACATAAGTGACCACTGTCTGCATATTTCCATGATAAGAATACTTAGTATATTTTAATCCCTACTTAAAAGCAGGGACCAGCGTAACATGGTATTAGTGATCATTATGGTTCTGCTATATATTAACTCAACTCCCTTTGTTAAGTTACTGACATTCTTAGACCGCCCATTGCTTCACTTGTTAAGCCCATAGTGCTTTGGAGTTGTGATAGCTAAATGATAATGCAGGCCAAGTGTTTAGTATGGGGCTGGCACAGAGCCAAGCGTTCAGTAACCACTAACTCTTAATATCTATCTTGCAGGCAGATAAAAAAAGAAATTGAAAGTTGCAGAGAGAGCATGTTCCTATATAACTTTTCCATTTTGTTTCAAATGAGGACCCAGAAAAGATAAGAGATTGGTTCAAAGTCTCACACAGTGACGAAATGGTAACACTTGGCTAGGACCCAAGTGTCTCTCTGATCAGGGTTTCTCCCCTTGCTTCTCTCCCACCCTCTTCTCCCTTACCTTCTACCTTCCTCGCCCCCCCCCTGCCCCCACCTCCATCCTTGGTCCTTACCCTCTGTCTGGGTTCTGTGGTTGTGGAAACCATGACAGAGTTGCAGATGGTTAGGGCAAGGAAGAAGTCAGCGATGGAGGACGTGGTGGAGTGAGACGACTTGGGTGGTCTGGCATCCGATAAGGTCTCCAGCCACAGGGCAGCATCTTGGACCTTGGTCAGTAGGTTTTTATCTGGAGTCACATCTTTTTCCTGGAAGAGACAGGCTTGAGTGAGTCTTTGGGAAGGAATATACAGATACATCAGGTTTTTGGCCTGCCTGGAGGAAAGGGCAATACAGTCTTCACAGCAGTCTTGCATCTGGTCTGATCATTGCTGATTTTTATTGGATTACTCCCTGTCTATCAACTCCCCATAGCTTCCAGCTACCAGGTCTTGGAAGTTCTTCCCCCCTCTTCCCCCCTATGTCTCTCCATTTGTTCACCATTCCTGATGTTTCTCACCATGCCCAGACCCTCCGGCCCTCCATCTTGGATTTCCATACCATCCTCTAAACCCAGGTTGTCACCTCTCATTTCTTTTCTTTTTGACCCTTCACGTGTATGATTTTTTTTTTCAGTCCCTAAAACTCCATTTTCCTCATGGCACTCGAAAAACCTCAGACCTCCACTGTTAGCACGATCGATTCATATGGCATCTAGAGTGTTTTGCAGTTTGGATTTCCACTTTTTACTCCCACTTTTTCTCAATGTGGACCCTCAGCTCAGCCTGGTGGTCTGTTTGCTGCATTCGAGATGTGTGCCCTCTTCCTTCTGTGTTTCTGATAACACTTTGAAAAATCCTCTCCTATCCAGCAAAGTCCTACCTAGATTTCAAATAACCAGAAGTCACACCTGCCCGTGAGATTTTATCCAGCTTTCAATGAATTCTCTTCCTTTTGAACTGCAATAATGAGTTCTTGAAATGTTCACATGTAACATGCGTGGATGGACCAAGATACAGATGAGGGTATTTCAGGATGGTGAGAAATACAGAACTGGTAAGTCAGACCCTATCTGAAGAGTGGTGGGCTTCTTTTCCTGGTGCAATGCTCCCATGCTGATCCACTTTGCCAAATAGCCTGACTTTTCAGGATAAAGCAGAGATAAGTGACCTCTTTTTTTTTTTTCTTTTTAGTCTCTGGGCTGGATCTGACTCATGGGTTCCCATTTTTAACATCTTTATAGAAGTTGCCACTTAATACCATCCCTTTGGTATTCATTACATATTGACCTATATCTGGTTTTATTGACGGTTCATCCATCTCCCTCTATCTCTACCCTCCCTTTCCCTCAGGAATTGATGCCAGGACAGCTTCACTGGGTGGTGATTGGGGGCGGGGGAGGAATGTCTAGCTTTGCTTACTTCCATGCTGCCATCTTGACCTGATCCATTTTAAATTCACTTTTTTCTGTCCCTATTGACTCTCTAGAAGTTAGGCAAGGGCCTCAAAGAAGAGATTGAGTTTTCTATGTGGTTGTATCTTCTAGAACTTTTAACTACAGGTTTCTTTGAAGCAGAAGCTCAACCACCAACCAGTTCTGAGTAGTTTGATACAACAAATTCACTCTACAAAGACATTTACACATAAAGCCATTTCTCTCTGTGTTCAGAGTTTATAACTAAATTATAGTTTAGAAGGATCAGTGGTTAAAAAGAACAGACGGAGAGAATCTTGACTGACGAGTGCAGGAGGAAGACTGAGGTTCAATGAGCTTTACAAATAAAAACCCAAATGTGAATTAAAAAAAAAAAAATTCTAGTGGGTAAAGAGTCCTCAGATGTCTTCTCTAACTACCAAATGCAGTGATTCCTGAAATTCTATTCTGTCCTTCCTGGGGCTGTTGGTGCAGGTGAGAGCCATAGGAAGGAAACTGGCATGCACACGCTACAGGAATACAGCACACTCTTCAAGTATCCTCTCCCATTTGGGTATGCACCCCAATTTATTCATAGCATAAGTTGATATCCAGAAAAAGCCAACTTACCCAAAAGAAGAATACTAGTAAAACTATATCAAATCTGTGTTTCCGTCCATTACCCCCTAAGCCAGGGTAAGCCATCCACACTATTTTCAGAAGACTTGCCAAGGGCATGTGCATTATCCACCCTCTCTGGCTTTGAGCACAGCCTTCAAAACAGGAGCTCATGTTCCCGAAGCCTTTCCCGCCTTCCTCATCCATGCCATTCACTTGACCTCACCAGGTTGTTGCAGTTTAAGGCTGAGATCAAGCTAACCTCAACTAGATTGAAATCCAAAGAGATGGGCTGACTTCCCCAATGTCATGCAGTGAGGCAGTGTAAAGCCAGAATCAGAGCTGGGATCCCTGGATCTCAGCAAGTACAGGGCTTCCCCATCCTGTGGTCTTGGTACAGTAGCTTGCCAGTGTTTGCTTCTCAGCAAACTTCTTTAGCCAGATTCCTGGATGCCTCCAATGCCTCTCACCATTTCACCAACTCCCCCAAAACACTGTCAGCCCATTTCTCGAGATAAGAGTGAGAGCTCCTGTCCACACAGCATTTCTTATGTTACAAGTGTGCCCTTACCTCATTGCATCCCTGAGCAGCAGCTGAGCGCCAGTCCCCCATTTACCTCTGTATTTCAGATGAGGAAACTGATGCCTAGAGAAGTAAAGTACCTTATCAAAAGTCACACAGTAAGTGGGAGGGATTCCTTCAGCTCATTCCAGATGGCCTGACTCTAAAATTTCTTCTCTCCAACTCCAGACCAGGCACCAACAAGCCTGACCACAGATACCCAGAAGTGGGGAACAAACTTGGGGGCCCTCAAAGCTAGACCCTCTATTTTCTTGATGATGAAACTGAGTACAAAAGAGAAGGGAAATGAATGGTTCAAGATCATGCATTGACTTAGGGTCAGAGCTAAGACAGGTTTTACTCACGGGACCTCAGCCCCTTATAATGTACTGCTTTGCTCCAAACTGCCTATTTCCAACTGGGACACGTAAAATGACTGTTATTTACTTCATGTACATTTACTCTCAGTGTCATGAGAGCCAAGACTGTCTCTGGATGGGTCCTCAGTACCTGGCAGATTGCAGGCACTCAAAATGTTTGTTGAGCCAGGTGCTGTGGCCTGTAATCTCAGTGGCTTGAGAGGTTGAGGCAGGAGATTGCGAGTTCAAAGCCAGTTTCAGCAACTCAGTGAGGCTCTGCATAACTTAGCAAGATCCTGTTTCTAAGTAAAACACATAAAAAGTGCTGGGGATGTTACTTAGTGGTTAAGCACCTCTGGGTTTAACCTTACTGCCTCAAAAATGTTTGTTGATCGACTCCTTTCTGGATACACTATACCTCACCACTGATTAACACTTTTCATCTTTTTGTTAAAACATTTTTTTCCACCCAATCACATAAAAATGCATTTTTATAAAAGGCTCCTCTGCAAAGGTCCTGCACTGGCAGCAGGCCCAGCCCGTAGGTGCCAGGAGTGGACATTAGTCAATCTTATCCAGTCACCACAGACCTTCCTCTGCAGAGCCAGGTTCTTCATGGTTCCTTCTGGTCCATTAACATTAGGAACTCGGCCCCTGGAGCACTTAGATAAAAGCAGTGTCTCTGCCCACCACTAGCTCTTTGACCAGTCCATTTCTCTGAAGGAAAAGAAATATAAATTCATGGGAGGTCACTAGATATTCAACTTAGAACTTTATGGACACCAGGTCCTCAATTGGTTGGATTTCTATTACAGGACACCTTAAACTCATACCAACCCTCCTTGAGGAAGGTGTTCTCAAAGCTCACCCTCCAGGTCCTATTATCATCAAATTGCTTTTATTTGAGAATGTAGAGTGAAGTCAGGCCCTTTGCTAAACACTTTCTTATGCATCATCTAATCATCGTAGCAGTGCTGATATGGCTACTACCAATCTTTCGTTTTCATTAGGAGGCAAAAAAGGTTCACTGCAGTCAAATAATTTGTCCAAGGTTGCAAAATAATTTGCTGGACCTTGAATCTAGTTCCACTTGATGCCAAAGCCTGGACCCTTCCATACTATGTTGGCCCTTCTCCCACAATCAACTGGGATCTTATTAAAATGCAGGATTCTAATTCAATGGGTCTGGAGTGTTTCTAACATGCTCCAGCATAGCTGCTACTCCAGGGACCACAGTTTGAGTAGGAAGTGGAATACTACTGGTTCCACTTCCTTTCTGACTGGGATGTGTTGCCAAGTTGAAGGCTGAGAAAAGGAGGCCAAGCTCCATTCTGCTGATCTCCTCTCTGTTTTCATGAAAAAGCACCCAAGTTCAGATTGGTACTGGATGCAGACTGGATGCAGCAGCCTGATGCTAAAGGAATCCTCTGAGCTAGTGATGGAAATAAGCAGGACGCCTGGCACTTAGCTCTGGAAGGAAACCCTCTGTGGCATGGTTGCACCTATGTCCCCACCTCCTCCTTTGATTCTCCTTCACTTGTACCTTTCCTTTCAAAGAGCCCCCATTCTCTCTTGCTGGCCCTGATGGTCTCTCGGACAACACCCCACATTCCTTACTCCCTCCTCATTAAAAGTCCTTCTCGTTCCTCTAGTTAACTTTAATTCTTGTCTCAAAATTCAGCTCAGGTGCTAAGCCTTCCTTAAGCCTCCCTGACACTCCCAGTAGGATGCAGCTGTGCCCGAGTTCTCACAGCACACGGGCACCCAGAACCCATTGTGTCTGCACGACAGCATCATCCTTTCGTCTCTGCTATTCTTCCTGCTTCCTCATTGGTTTAAAAGCTCCTGAAATCAGGGGCGATTCCCCATTAGTCCTTATATCTCCAGTGTTTAGCACAGTATTTGCCACAGAGGGAAATATACTTACTGAGGTCTGTTGGCTGACTAATCAAATAAATGAAAATCTATTCAAAGGAAATTTAGACACTCACCATGCATAGACTTGGCAGATGTGGGAATCAGGAGACCCTTCTATTTGTTGGTGGCGAGTGTCTCAACTGGTACAACTTGGGGAAAATTAAAATAAAACACACATGCTTCCCAATTCCGCAATTATGCTCTCTTCTGTACAGAATACTTCTTTGGGAAGGACACACAGGAAATTGATGATTGTTTTGGGAATGGTGGGGACAGAGGAGGGAGTCACACTGACTTACTCCCATTGGGACTTTGATTGCACCCCCCTTTTGATAGTGACTGGGGCCTTAGGCATGGTATGCAAGTACTCTACCACTGAGCTACACCACCAGCCCCAATTCCCTTTTAATACATAACCCTATGGTTATATTAATGTCACAGACACAGACTTGCTTTGTTGCTGGGGAGCTGGAGGCTAAAATCTTGTTCGGGGAAGTGATATTTTTGTCCTGGCAGGGGTTGTGGCCTTGGTGACATTAGTTTGGATAAGGCAATGGGAAAGCCCCATGTTGGTACATGTTTACTTAAGCAGCCCACAGGTTGCTAGGGTCAGCTTTTCCCAAATGGGACATAAGCTCAAGGAAGATCTCAGTGGCCAAGAAAGAAGGGGGTTCTCCAGATCTTGCCAGACCCCACCTCTTGTGAACAGTGTTATGGTGGCTTTTTGGGGGTCCCTGGGGGACAAGGGAAGCACAGCTGAGATGAGATTCACCAGTTCCTTCCCTGTGTGGCCACATCAGTCCTGGAAGACTCTTCCCTAACCCTGCAGAGGTTGTGTGGCATGAGGGCCACCCCTCCCATCTGTAGCAGACTGGGGTGCTGCAGGATCTTCTCCAAAGGAGAGAGGGCCAAGATTAAGGAAAAGAGGCAGAGAACCTTCTCCCCCCTCTAACACATTCTCCTGGAGGGGTGGGGGGCATTCCCACAGAAGGAAGCAGCACTGGAGTGTGGAGGGGCCTCGGTGAGCCAGGCAAACGCCCTGATGGGACGACATTCTTTGGTTGGGAAAACATTGTACAAGTGGCCTTTCTAAACAGGACTCTACTGAAAACTTGGCTGCTTACAGGCCAGGAACAAGAGAAAAGGCATTTCCTTTTCCATCTGCCAGGACTATTAAATGTTGGCCCAGAACTTACAATTTTCCTAAGTATATTATCCACCTTACGGTCACGAATTTTATAGCAGGCAATTAGAAGATCATCACAGATACTTCCTTGTTTTCTATAGTAAAAGAAAAAACCCCACCTCTGATGGTTGTTGTTATTGTTGACTCTCATTTTATCTTTGGTTTATAGTAAAGAACCAGGAAAACCAATAACAGGCTTCTTGGGAAGGAGGCAGAAAACACAGCCAAGACTGTGCAAGTTCTGACTCAGCTCACGAAAGGAGGGTAAAGGACAGGTGGCTCAGAGAGATTATCAGAACAGACCGGATACCAGATGGGCAGGTGGAGCGAGGGACCAAAGGCTGGTGGGAAAGGAGCAGGCTCAGAGCCCTGCCAAAAATGGGCAGGGTGGACACACAGAGAGCCACCGGAGGCTGCTAAAAAAGTCTCTAAGAACTACGTCAGCGATCCCACTGCAGCCAGAGATATTTCACACGTGAGCATGAGACTCCTTAAAGGCATGAATCACCTGCTTCTGCCAAGGCCTCCCAAGCTGTATGAGGGGGCCTGAATAAGGAGCCGCATGAAGACTTATTTCTTGGTAGGGCAATGGTCTCCTTAGAGTGGCCTCACTCTTGGGTGCCCACTAGAATCATCAGAAATGAGAACATGAATGTTCCTGCCCCACTCTGGGCCAGATATACCAGAATCTCAGGGGAGAGAGCTCAATCACTGTGCTTTATGAAAACTACATTTCCCCTCTGTCAAATATGCAAATATTTGCCCAAAGCAGACAGCTTCCCTGTAGAAAGAGTATTCAAAATGTTGGCTAGATGATGCAACAAAGAAAAAAAATATAAATGACAACAAATCATCTATTGGTTATCCCTGTGTCTAAAACATAGGATCTCACCAGGTGTGATGCTGCAGGCCTATAATCTCAGTGACTCAGGAGGCTGAGGCAGGAGAATTGCAAGTTTAAGGCCAGCCTTAGCAACCTAGAGAGGACCTAAGCAACAAAACAAGACCCTGTCTCAAAATAAAAAAGAAAAAGAACTGGGGATGTAGCTCAGTGGTAAAGTGCCCCTGGGTTCGATTCCCTGTAGTGAGGGAAATATGATCTTAAGAATTAAATATTTGCTGGGTGTGGTGGTACACGCCTTTAATCCCAGTGGCTCGGGAGGCTGAGTCATGAGGATCTGGAGGTCAGTGAGACCCTGTCTCTAAATAAAATCCAAAAAAGGGTTGTGGATGTGGCTCAGTGGTTAAGTGCCCCTGAGTTCAATCCCTGGTCCTTCCCCGCACCCTAAAAAATTAAATCCTAAAAATAACTCATGAGCCAGAAGAACTGTTTGTACTTTAATGAGGAGAAGATTGAAGCTTCCAATTTAGCAAGTTGATCAGAGATGGAGAGCAAATTCATACAGGAGCTGAGATGGAAACCTGGGTGTTGAACTCCAAATGTGCCTGCTTCTTAACTAGAGGGGACCCTGCAGGTTAGCACAGACATTACATTGTTTGATTCTTTGAAAAGCCTAAAAGAATTTTAAGTATTTTTGGGGTGACAAAAAATTGGAATAGAAAGAGGTTTAATATGCGGCTTATGGTTGTACAGCAAGCCAGAGTAGAGCTAAAAGCAGAACCGACATTTCCTGACTCTCAGCCTGCACCCTCCTGGACAGCTAACCATAGATGCTGTTCTACCATCAACCCCAGTCTACTTTCAACCTGACTATGCAGCAGTATTCTCTGCTCTTCATAACAAGTACAAACGTGTCACCATCTCCACCTGCCCACGCAACAAGAATTGCACCTCAGTTCTTGCAGCAACTTCCTCACTGCTTCTGAATGAACTTAGAACTTGGCTTTGAAAAGTGCTGGCCAGGGCAGAATGACTATGTTCATGTTCTGGAAAGATAGTGGGTGGGTTAAGATGTCCCTCCCGTTGGCCATCAGCTATGGAATTTGCATCAAATTCATTCTGCCTGGTTTGGGCTGCTGTGATTTGTGAGCTGAACAAGAAGGGAACTGATTTGTATACACACACCAAGAAAAAAAAAAAAACAAAACCAAAACCTTCCTTTTTCTTCTTAGTTGCTCAGGGGAGGAAGATAGTCATTCTCCTGTGCATGAGATGCCTGTGGTATCTAAGTGGAAGGTGCCCAAAGACACACAGAATCTATGTCTGATGACAATTCACTAAATTCATTTAAAAAGTAATGTTCAGATATAGAGTTGGGGAAGAACATTCCATTTAGAGGAGGCAAAATTCAAGAGAAGAACGATTGCGATGCACATGTCCTGTTGCTACGTTGCTTGGGAAGATCAAAAGGGAAACAAAACTGAACAGAATCTCTGTGAAGCATCTTGGGCTCACTTTGCTTCTCTTGTATGCTTATGAGGGCCACTTGTTTTAACACACTTTCTCGTTTTAACCTTTTAATGTTGCTTTTCAGTACATGGTGATCATGTAAGAGAGTTAACTCAACTTTAACTCTTACAACCTCTTCAACTTAATACTTACCTAAAGTTAGAGCAGTGACTTATCAATTTCTTTAGGATACAGAGTCCTGGGTTATGAAAACTAGATAGCAATATGGAAAATGCTTTTGATATGTTAGGTCAAAAATATGGCATTTATAATAGTTATGTATGTTGGCCAAAGATATTTTATATATATATATATATATACACATATATATATATATACACACACATGTATATACATGTATGTGTGTGTGTGTGTGTGTGTGTATACACACACACACAGACACACACACACATTTGTGGATGTATCATGGGAAAAAAAGACATTGGCCCAAAGCATCACTTTAAAATCTCATTTTCTAATAATGGGAAGAGAGCACTCTAGGGCCCATTTGGAGTATGTGTCTTGTTAAAGATATCTGGGGTTTCCTCTGGCATTTTCTGCAAATGCAGAAGATTCCAGAAGATGTGTTTTTCATGTTCCCTGGAGAAAAAGGAGGTACAAAAAGAGATAGGACAAGACTCAGAAGGTCCTGGTTCTCGCCCTGACTTCTAGGGATGCATTTGTTTTTAGGATTTAATTTTTGGGGTGGTGGGGGAGGACCAGGGATTGAACTCAGAGGCACTTAACCACTGAGGCACCTTCCCCAGCCTTTTTTTGGATTTTATTTAGAGACAGGGTCTTCTAATAGGTCAGATGTGAAGGGACTACAGGCAAAAAGTCCAGGACCAAAACCACAAACTTTGCCCACAGGGGCCAGAGTTAACCTAAGGGTGAAATAGGCTGGGTAATTTTGACACAGTCTTTGTTTGTAACTGTTCATACATATTCTACCAAAAACATACTCTCTCATTTTCCTTCAGACACACGAGACCTTCCAGGTTTACCTCTTATTTCTCTACTTTATGGAAACATGGACACCACACTTATTTCTTTTTTTTTTCTTAATTGTGTAATTGGAAAAAGATGCACAAGAAGCAAATGCTGGCTCTCAGCTCAGGGATGGGGATCAGCAGAAGAGCGAGGGGCTGTAGTGAACTGAAGATGGCATGCCCAGTCCAGGTGACAGGATGCCTTAACTCAGGCCAGTGATGGCCATGAGGAAACTCTGGCCTAGTGTGGGGAATTTTTCCAATTTCATTTTTAAGAGAGAAGCCAGAATCTACATGTTTAGATTTCTAAGTGTCGCACCTCTGAAATGAACAGGAGTTGTACATGCTGACAGGGCACCTGTGTGGAGTCCATTCAACGCCAGGGCCACCATTTTTAGGGCTTTTCAGAGTTTACACAGTCATTTATCTTTCACTCACACCCTCCTAACATGGGGCACTTGTAATCCAAAGAGGAAAGACAGGGACTTACTATGGAGCTGCTGAAGGCCACAGGAGGCTGTGAGCTCTCACGGCGTCCTACAGACCTTTGTCGGGAGTGGCCTTGGATGGGCACCCGGGCACTATGGCATCTCCTCAGAGGCTGGGCACCACCTTGGCTTCGCATTGTTGCAGGGCCCTGGGTCCATCTGGCTGGGAAGGACAGGCATCGGTATTGGGTCCACTCTTCACTGTCCGAGTCCAGTTCCTTTGGGGTCTCTAGTCGCTTGGCTGCAAGAAAGGAGTCTTGTTATCCCTTGGCTGGGCCACAGCTGGGCAGATGCTGGACTTCCCAGGTAAGGATGCACTACCACCAGGGTCGAGGCTGCTGTGGAAAATTGGTAACTGGGCTACTGATGCTAGAGAAAGAGCGATACGGTTGATTCCCACAGATTCAAATTCTGTCTCTATTACCTTCCTGTTATGTGTCTTCGAGCTTTGACTTAACCTGTGTTTCTATTTCCTCAGTGGTTTTCAAAAAGTACCTGACTCATAGGATTGTTGATTTGATGATGACATAATGTATGAAAGTGATTAGCAAACCATCCATACTTGTTAGTAGTAGTAGTTGGTAAAAAGAGATCAGAAGTTCCCATGTAGATAATGAACTCTCACCATCGAATGGGGACATGGCTGCCTGTAGCAGCACCTTTCTTTCTCCATGCCTCCCAACCAAAAAAACAAACATAGCTCTCCTGATAGTCTTTTCTTAGAAAGTGTGTAGGTGACAGGGTGGGAGTGTGGCTGAGAGTGTTTTATGGGCTACTTTCAGCCCAGATAAGATAAAACACTTACAGTCCTTATCTCCTAACCAAAAACATTGCCTCAAAGTCTAAGAGATTTTTTTTTCAAAATAAGTTAGCATGTAAGGAATTTTCTAGGTATGTCAAATATGACCATGTGCCTAGATCTAGACCTGTTCTGACCTGTCAGGTAAAGTGACCCGAGAAACTCCTAAAGCTTCCCTGCATAACTGCCAATCCATTGAGACATGTCTCCAGTCCCTTCCTGACGTACACAGGCTGTGTTATGACTGTCACCAGACAGAGATCCACTGGACGGTTTCTACATGGGGATCACATTTAGCCTGTGTGAGCATATGAAAGTTGACAGGAAATAAGAAGAGTCCTGAGGTGTGACAGGGAAGGCCACAGGATACAGGAGGCAACCTGTCCAAATGCCACACAGCCTCTAGCCACAGCCAGCTCATGTCTTTTTAGTCCTCTTCACTTAGGAAGTGTTTCCTATCAGAGGGGGGATGGAGGCCCTGGGCAGCCCTCGTACCATTTTCTTGGTGACAATACTCTCTGCCCATGATGGAGCAGCGCCGGAACACCATCTTGTTCTCGGTCAGCGTCCCCGTCTTGTCGGAGAAGATGTACTGGATCTGGCCCAGGTCCTCGGTGATGTTCAGGGCTCGGCACTGAATGGACAGATCCGTCTCCTCATCGTAGAGGTCAAGGTCATTGTGCAGGAAGAATACTTGCCCCAGCTTTACCAGCTCAATGGACACGTACAATGAGATCGGGATCAGCACCTGAGGGGAGATGGATGCCCGCCGAGTCATAAGCCCACCTCCGGACCCACCACGAGTAGATAGCAAAGGCATTTGATGGAAAGCTGAGGTCAGCTCACAGGATGTTCTTCGTCTGAGAAATTAAAGGTCAGTGACTTCACGCCTCCCCTGGGAAGATTCTTGGGAATCTGTGAAGGAGGTGTTTTCTTCAACCTGGGGTGCCTGGGACAAGGCAGGCCCTCACCTTTGGTTTTGAATGACCGAGAGGAAGCAAGTAAGGAAGCCTTAGTACCTCTGTCCAGCATCCCCTGAGCCCTCTTAGATCTCTAGATCCTGCAGGGCCACCACCCATTTCTATAGGTACTCAGACCTACCGCTGATTATTGTCCACTAATTCAACACCTAATATTCATCCAGGGCTTTCTTTGCATTGGATGCTGTTCTATATCTTAGAAATGGGAGTTATCTGAACAAAATTTCTTAAAGAATTCACATCTCAGTGGCAGAAAACAAACTAATAAAGTCATATTGGGTGGCCATAGGTCTTATGATGGAGAATAGAGGAAAACGGTAGAGAGGGGTGGGTGGGAGGGACTCAGACCATGACCTTTGGAGGGTGTGAGTTGTGAGGTTATCTGAGGGAGGAGAGGTCTGGGTGAGGGAGCTGGATGGTGTTTGATGGGTAATAGTGAGCTGGCCTTGCACATGCATGAGGAAGAGAGAGGCAGGAGCCAGGGTCAGGGAGGGAGTCACAGTCCAGATCACTTGGCCCTGTTGTCTGCGCTCAAGGACTTTGGATTTCACCTTGAGCAGATATGAAATTACCATCAGACTCTGCCGAGGACAGGTGTGCTTATTGACTTTTCAAAAGGATTACTCTCCTTGATAAGCAAGGGATTAAAAGTGGTTCATCAGCCCTGGTGCAGTGGCACACACGCCTGTAATCCCAGCAACTCAGTAGGCCGAGACAGGAGGATTGTGAGTTCAAAGCGAGCCTAGCAAAAAGTGGGGTGCTAAGCAACTCAGTGAGACCTTGTCTCTAAATACAAAATAGGGCTGGGGATGTGGCTCAGTGGTCAAGTATCCCCGAATTCAACCCCCGGTACACCCCTACCCGCAAAAAAAAGAAGTGGCTCATCAATAAGAGGATCACGAAACACCCTCATAAAGCACAAGAAATCTAACCTAGTGCAACCTCACCAAAGACTACTACAACTTCTCTCATCTTTTCATTGACCACATTTTCTTATGGAGCATGAAGACTTTTTAAAATTCATTTCTTTATCCCTAAATGCCTCACATTTGGTTGGTTCTCTCTGTTTTCTTCCATTTTCCCCTTTTCCTTCTCCATCTCTTAGATGTGAAGGCACCAACTCCCATTTCCCTTCTCTCTCGATGCTCAGGGGCTGGGGAGTTCCCGGTGGCCCTCAGAACTCCTTTTTTCTCCTTCTGTGCTGAGGTCATTAGTGTCTTGTCTGTTCTGTTTATGTCAAAGAGACAGGTGCGTGGGGGTCACTGTTGTAACCCTACTCTTCATAGAAAAGCCTGATAAACATTTCCCTACAGCCGTTATCTTGAGGGACCAGGTCCCCTCGACAAGCCTGGGCTGCTCTGAAATGACCTCAAAGTCAATATTTTTAAAGCCTCACAGGAAAGCAATAGCCACCTCCTCACCTCCGTCCAGTCACTTCTCTTGTGGCCAACACTGACCTTTCTTTATTTTGCAAAGTTGTAGGGATTAGAGAGCCTGCCTACCTGGAGCAGGATGATCATCGTGAGGAACATGTAGAAACCCCCCAGAGCCAGGGAAAGGTAGTGGCCGTCGGCATCCGGCACGTCGAAGGGAGGGTGTTCCTTAAAGTTCCGATTCCAGAGGCCGTGACCTGAGAAGAAACGGAGCCAGAGGTGAGGCAGAGTCTGCATTTAGGCCGGAAGTTGGTCCATTCTATCAGCTCTTGACCTACTCCTGGAAATGGGAGGGCTTGGGGAGGAGGAGCCCATCCTCATGCCCCAGGACACAGGTGTGGGGGTCTGCAGCTCGTCCCTCTCGAATGCGCTCTTCACGTACCCTACCATCAATCCCTAGATTTCACCATCACCGTTAAGTCTGTTTTCCTGGAGGAGATGAGCATGCGGAGGGTTACTTGTGTCCTGGTGAAGACTGGTTCCCGAGGGTTTGGACACAGGGAGAAGGATGTGTGTTCCTTTTAGTTGTGTGAGCAAAAGTGTGTGGCTGGGAGTCTTGATCTCCCTTCTTCTCTCATCTACCCCTCCACCCATTTACCCATCTTTCTGTCTGCCCACTCACTCCTCCCTCAGCCAATGCTTCTCGATTCAAGGAGTCTGTCTTGGTTCTTGAGGAGTTCCCTACCAACCACCCAATGTAAAAGGACACACTGCGCACAGCGTGAGGGGTGCTACGCAGAGCCTGGAGTGCCATCAGAGCCACAGCCGCTACCCTGTTTCCTTATCTGCAAAGGGGATGTTAACACCCATGTCTGAGGCCTCCACAGGTGAAGTGCTTCTACTACCTGCTGCAGGGCTCTCCGAACATCTTCAGTGTAATCAGTAATGACACGTCACGACAGGGTCATTATAACCTACTGAGTATAAAGCTCTCAGCTCTACAGGGAATTTTGGGGAATGTTGCTCTGCCCAAAGACACGTCATTGCCCGGGAAGATGGGCCAGATGCCACCACACATGGCAGACGGAAGGAGACTTATGGGCACGGAGCTGTTTGAGGGCGATACTATGGAGCAAATGTTGTGTGGCACAGTGAGGGGCCCTGGCCTTTATATAGGAGCAAGATGGTAACACAGGAGAAGTCAGAAAAAGGTGTCAGGAGGAGGGAGACTTGATGGGTCCCAGAGCCTGGACAAGAGTGTGTCTATGTATGGTGGTGGGTGTCAGGAAGGGCAGTTGGAGTAAAGAAATGAGAAACAGCGGGCTGGGGTTGTGGCTCAGTGGCGGAGCGCTTGCCTAGCATGTGTGAGGCACTGGGTTCGATCCTCAGCACTACATATAAATAAAGGTATTGGGTTGACTATAATTAAAAAAAAAATAAAAGCAAACAAAAAAAACAGTACCCTTAGAAAAACCAGGTGGACCTGTGGTCAGGAACCCTGCAGTGCTGCTCCTTCTCACCCGGGAGCTCTCTGCTCCTGCAGGGCTGGGCTTTAATGAGGCACCCACATTGCTGTGCTGTATGGAAGCTGCTAATCTCAGAATCCCACTCCCTCCTCCTTTATCTTTCTATTTAATGTTTTGGGAACCTGCCAGCTGGATCTAGTTGCCTGTGCCTTATCTTGCTGTATGGCCTTTTAATCAGTGAGATGATCTTAAATGTCCTTTCAGTGCTGAGGGGCCTTGAAAAACCTGTCCCAACACAGGGTCCTGCAGAACTCTGAGGGTACAGAGGTGGCCACGTGGGCAGGTGCCTGTCCCCAGTGCTCTCCCTGCAGCCACGAGCCACCCTTGCATGGAGTGCTACTAGACAAACTTGGGAAGTATATTTATTGAAAACCTCAGGCCACCCCCGAGGGGTTTACCCTAGATCTGAGCCCAGGGGAGGTCTTCACCTCTCAGACACTATCTCAGCAGCAGCAATGTTACATCTTCTAAGACAAGCAGAGAGCAAGCACCATCACGCTCATGGGGTTGGGGTCAGCGTTGGGGTCTCCACCCAGCCCACAAGTTCTTCCTCATGATCATCCCTGGTTCTTTTGGGGTCTCCTTTAGCATCCCAAGTGTCATTATTAAATTTCAACTTAAGGGGGTGAGTGGGTAAAAGCTTTACCAAGGGTCCTCTACCTTCACTCTGAGGATCAACTTAAAGACTCCAGATCACTCCTGTCCATACTTCCTGAAGTTGGCCATGGCATGGCGTGGATTCAGTCTCTGTTCTTGGCCTCGCTCTTGTCATGCCAAACAGCCAACTGCTTCCTTGCCTCTGGTGATTCGTGTTCTTCCTTGTGCTTTATGGGTGCTGTCCATGAGGCTATAGTAGCCCTCCCTCTTTCTTTCCACACCACTGACCACCCCATCCTACTCCTAAACTTGGCCTGTCACCTCCTTCTCCAGTGAATGCCTACTCCATTTGGGAATCAGCTCAAGCAGCTGCCTCTTGAAGACTCCATTGGTGTTCCCATGACACTTGCTTTAGGCTGAATAATGTTTGTCCTCCCCCACCCCCGATCCCATAATATATAGCCTAGTCCCCAGGCCCTGTGAATACGCTCTCTCGTATGGCAAAAGGGACTTTGTAGATGTGATTAAGTCATGGGATTTGAGATGGAGAGAGTCTGCTGGGTCACCCAAGGGAGTTCAGGGATGTAATCACAAGTATCCTTATACAGGAGGGAGATACTGCTCCTGATGAGAGGGGGACGGGAAGGGACTGGATAGGTGTGCTCTGAGCGTGAGAGCAGGTGGAGGAAGTGGCCATAAACCAGGGGACACAGGCGACCACTGGAAGCTGAAAGAGACAAAGAATGTATCCTTTCCTCAGCCTCTAGACGGAACCAGACCTGCTGATCTGAACCTAGGAAAAAACAGATTCTGGACTTCTGACCTCCAGAACAGAACTTTGTACTGATCGATGCAGTCTGTTTATTTTTAAAAGCAGTGATAGAAAATGAAGGTAGTATTCATGTGCAGCCCTCACTGAGAGGGGCAGATTGAACCAGTGGACCTGCTCATGTTTGACTCCTTCATGCTAGACAGGAGCCCTGGAGGCCCAGTCCTGTGGCCAACTCACCTTGTGAGCCTCTCACGCCCAGAGAGTGCCTGGGGCCCGTAAGTATTTTATGAACCAATACATGATACATGATAGCCCCAATATTTACGAGCACATATTACTTTCAGGAGATTTCTGCATTTTTCATTTCTTTGGCATCTGAGTCAAGTAGGCAGCATAGATTTTATTTTTTTTTCTGAGCCCTATTTTATAGATGAGAAAACCGAGGCTCAGAGAATTAAAGCAACTTGCTCAAAGAAACAGCTTCGTGTGCTTCCTTTCCAGAACATTCCATACCTACAGCTCCAATGAGACACATGAGGAAGAGGAGCCCGATGCAGAAGAAGATGTCTGTGTTCATGCGCCGCTCGATCTTGCTGCGTTTGTACCGGGGGCCGCTGTTGTTCAGCATGGCTTTTGTGTCATGGCCTTTGGGAGAGAAGGAGAAAATGAGTCCCTTGGCCCAATTTGGTTGCCTCTGCCCTAGATCGCACCCTTGGGCTTTCCTCATCAGAGCTGGGGATAAAAGGTTTCGTTTGCTAGGGAGCCTGTCCTGCCTCGGGGAGGTTGCTGAGGATGGGTGGAAGGGCCTCACCAGTGTGCCAGGAGGTGTTCACCGAGTGTCCCCTATGTGCCAGGCGTGGTGGTGGACACTGACAGAGCTGCCATGCACAGCTCTCTGGGTACCTCTTATTTAGTAGTTGGAGACTAGTAAGGTTAGTAGGACAAACTTGTGGCAGATGAAAGTCCGCTGTCTTTAGGAAGGGCTGTCTCTGTCTAATTTGCCCAGAGGCACTGTTCTGGCCATTATAAGACAAAGCGTTCCCTTTCTGGCGAAGTTATACAAAGAAACAAATATGAATTCTCAGCTATTAACTAATCCCATAAAATAAAGAAAGCAGTGACCAAAGGCTCTGAGGCAGGTAAGGGATGCCATTAGACAGCATGGTCAGAGAAAGCTTCTCCAAAGAGGTAACATTGAAGGGAGGGAGAAAAAAAAATTCTAGGCTGTGAGATTGTGCTGTGCAAAGACCCTGTGATAGGACAGCGTTCGGGGCCAGTAGTTCCTATATTTCCCTTTTTGGTTGTGCTTGAAGAGTTGGTGTTTTCTGTGCGACAGTAATAGGGACCAAAGGCCATCACCCCAGCATTGATTCCGAGTAGCCTCACCCCTAACTGGGACATTTGTATAAAATTTCATTCAACCAAAGGATGACAATATTTGAAGACTCTCCAACTTTTCCAGTTCTCTCCTTTTTTTTTTTTTTTTTTTCAGTTGGGAAAGGGAACAACCAGAGAGTGGAATGGACCTTTCCATAAAGAGAGAATAAATTGACATAATAAAGTCACCATAGGAAGCCACGATTCTGAGTCCCAGTCTGGGTCTCCTTCCACCAACCTGTGGTGCCCCAGGTCACACAGCAGAGAGCTAAGAGTCAACCTGAGACATTGCCTTGGGACAGAGCCTCCTCTCTGGGGTTGCTGGATTTTAATTACCAAGCTCACTCTTTCTCGGTGGTCAATTTTAAAAATGGCAGTCACATATTTTCTGTGCAAAATCAAAGAAGACCAATGCATCAGTTCCAGAAGCAAATGGCTTCAAGGCTGCTTCGCTGGTTGCCTTGTGGATTTAAAGCAGCAACAGAACAGGAGTGAATGATCCTCAGGTTTATTAAATCAGACTCAAGTGGCTATGCTTGGGAGGAGTTCTGCAGATGAGGAGCACAGACCAAGTGCATGCATAGCTTTCCACCCGCCTCAGGCTCAGTGTGTGCAGGGGGTCCTGGGACTATGCTCTTTGCCCAGCTGCTCGTCACCTGCTGAGACTCTGCCTGTTATCTGGGCTAGAGTTGAGTATGCAGGAAGGCCCTGTGGTATTGTGGTCAGGACATGGGCTTTCGAGTCAGAACTTGATTCTGCAGACCTTGGGCTACAGGGAGTTAAACTCAGAAGACATGTGACTTCAGGCCAATGAATTCCTCTGCTCCTCAATTCCTTATTGGTCAAATGATGATCATGGGTGCATTTGGGGGTGGGGGCCTGAATGAATATAGATCAAGTACCTAAACTAGTTCCCAGCCCACAGTAGGGGCTTGAACACTGCCTGCAGTGATGAGCACACCCCTCCACACTACATCTCTTCCTTCTGGAAAGCCCAACTTGGCCTGAGTTCTTGGCCCTATGTATCTGCTGACAGTTTCACGAGAGAGAAGATAACTCTGGACCAGTTATTCTTAACCAGTGGTGATTTTATTCTCATACGTTTGGCAATGTATGAGACATCTTTGACGATCTTAACTCAGGAATGGGGTGGTTCTAATGGCTGTACTGGGTAGGGACCAGACTTGTCACTCAACACTTTACAAGAAAGTCCCTCCCTGCAAAAAAAAATTGTCAATGAACCAAACATCAGTCATGCCCAGGTGAGAGCCCCTGATCTACATAGTGATACTCAAAACAATGAGATCCATTTTTTTGTGTGTGTGTGTCTAGTTCATTCTAGGTACTCTTCAGGCCTTTTCACAGATAACCTCCTTTGATCCTTATATTACTGCCAGGTAGGAACTATTAGTTCCTCTTGCATAGAAAATTTCGCCAGCTCACACAGGAACATTCAGAACACAGTGGATCTTTTCCCCCAGGCTGCCTGGCTCTCCAGTTAAAGTCCTTTCCTACCCATCACTCATTTAGTGGTTCTTTGTCTTCACTCAGGCAGAGAAGCACAGCTCTAAATCTGCGTGGCTTTTCTCTTTCTGTTTTCTGGGGGCAGCGATTACTGGAGAGTTCAAGTGCAGTAGGTCTACTAGATGGTGCTGAACTTCCTTGCCAAAGAGACTTGAAAGAAGTCACCTGAACTGAAAAACACACTCCTCTCCCCCCCAGTTAGGAAAAGCTAGCTAACTAGTGACATTAACTTTTAAAAGACCTGTTTTTCTTTGACAACCCTGAAAAGTAAACCTTAGGGTAGATGGACATTTATGTCTATCTTTCATGTCTATCAATAAGGAGTTCTACTCAGACCAAAATGAATGAAACCAACCTATGAAACCAAAAAAAAGCAAAATACTCCAAAAGCATCCCAGGGAATGGAGATGCTTCCAGTGAATTACAGACTCTCCAGAGAGACTATTTCCTCTACAGAAAATGATGTCTTTAGTCATTCATGTAACGATAGAAATCTACTGAGCACCTACCACGCTCCAGCTGTTAGGCAATGGGGACTCACAGGAGTGCCCTTTGAGACTTTCGATTATTTTGGGTAAAGTACTGCTGTCACCCCTTTGTGACTGGGGAGCAGAGTCAAAGCGGAAAGGAGGGAGACCCCTGCTATGGTTTGGATGTCAGTCATTCCACCAAATGTTAGTCTTCCCTAGAGCCAAGTCAACGCCAGAGTCATGCCTTGAAACCTCCTAAACTGAACTAAATAAACCTCTTTTCATTATAAAATTAGCATGTATCAGGTATTTCATTATAGTAGTGAAAGTGGACTAAGAGTTCTCAAATCTGGAGCCATAAAATAAATAAAGATAACAGTAAAAGCATAATTACAAAACCCATAATCAAAGTCCATTGAGCTCTCACTGTGCTAGAGAGAGTGCTGGGTGCCTTTCATGTATTGGGTCATCTGATCCTCAAGAATTCTCCAGAGCAGATACAAGTACTCTTTGCACTATACAAAATGAGTAAATCTGGGCATAAAAGATGAGGTTGTTATGTTTAGTGAGGTAATTCTATTGGCCCAAGAAGACAGTCACAAGACAGTCCCTCTTTACCCTCCCTTTGGTAAGTGTCACCAATCTACTAGCTGGGTGTGACAGATGAGTGGTAGGACTTTGGAATCCCATTATTACTTTGAAGCCTTCTGTGGACTGAACGAGCAGGTGTGATCCCAGCCTCAGTTTCCTTACTTGAGGGATGGGCTGTGATGGGACTGTGCTCCTTTGAACTGTGGTGGATTCTTATGGAGTGAAGGCAGATTTCAAGGGAAAGAATAGAAGAAGAAAACGTTGGACAACAGAAAGGCCTAGGGACAATGACCTGCGTAGATGACAATGCCAACAGCCACCTCCGTGTTTCTGATAGTGCAGCCTCGAAGCAGAAGACTCTCACTGCCGAAGCCAGTCCTGGTCTGGTCGGGATGCTCCCTGGGGATGACGAAGGAGAGACAGGGTGGTTTGGTGGCCTGTCCACATGGTCACTGGTTAGTATCACAGAAGAAAAACTGTGAGTATATGTAAACCTTCTCCTCCCTCATTTTCAGAGGGCGGTCGTAACCGGGAATCCACTCTCCTGTAGGTTCAAGGGCACCTGTCATGGTTCCTAGGCCTGGGTGGGGGGCTGGACCATCAGAATGGAGTTGTCCACCCTAGGAAACCCTCACTGACTCCCCTGTGAGGCCTGCTGTGGTGCTCCTTATGCAGCATTCACACCCTTGTGCTTGCTGCTGCCAGGGACCTGATCAACCCAAACTGGACATCCACATGCATCGTGGACACTAGATAGGTCTCTTTTACCAGGAGACAGGAAAGTCGGTAGGGTCAGGCAAGGAAGGGCAGTCGCCACTTCTTCTCATTCTGAGAAGCATTTGGCCTCTCTCCTGTTCTATCCTTCCCACAGTCTCCCACAAAATAAGCAGAATTGGATAATCGCTATTTGCCCAACTCACTGGTGGCAGCCTCTTAGTGAGGAGATGAAATCTCTTCCTTCCTGCAGCCTTGGGGAGCATTGCATCTTCCATTGCTCTAGAAACTTCTGAGTTAGACTGATTATATTATTTCCTGGGTTCTGGCCCGTAGTCTATCATGATGCCTTTCCTTGGAGAATTTTTTTTTAACCAACTTTAAATATAATGCTCCAGAAACATTAAGAGGAAAAAAAAAATAGTTCAGACTCTCAAAGCTTTCTCTCCTTATAGTTCTTCAGTATTTCATTTCCCTACATCTGCTTGCAAGACTCTTCCATGTGTTAAGTAAGCCTCATAAGAGGCTAGGGCATGTTGTCATACCCATTTCACAGACAGAAAAACAGAGGCAAGTTTGTGGAGCTAGTAGGTGGCAGAGCAGGATTCACACTTAGGAGGTCTGGCTCCTGAGTGCTCGGCTGCAACCTAGCGTGCCTTTTAATGCTAATAATTCCTGTGTTTATAAACCACATTCACTTACTTGGCCTTATTTGAATCTTTATAGCTCTGGAAAGCTAGCAGGGTGATTATCTTTGCTCATGAAAAAACTGAAGCTCAGAAAGGCTGAGGGTTTTTCCAAGGCCACACATCTAGTGCCTGGAGCATCGGAGGACCTGGAAACGCAGGTAGCAGACAACAACCCCTGATGAGATTTTCACTACTCTGGGGTTCTCAAAGTGCCACCCCCTTATCTGATTCTGTGAATCTGTCAAGGAGGATGTCCTCATTTCAGGTGGGAGTATGAACCCTGTTCTGCCACTTGTCCATCCCATTTTATAACACAGAGGAGGCTTATGGCAAATGGTCTTTCATTAAATTCAACAATACAGGTTTTGATGTCACCATATGCATTTTACTCTGACCTCTTATGTGTAGCAAGTGATATTAGTTTTCAAAGGTCTAATTGTATAAATTTTCCTTTTGAAATGAATTTTAAAAATCAAGCAATTACAAATTTGGTAGGAAAAAGTATAGATTTTGATGAATATGATAAAAAACCACAAAGGCGGTCTGAGGATGACTTTCAGGATCCACGATTGCTCTATCTCTCTATCAAGGAAGAGGCTAGTTGTGGATTGACTCTCGGGCTAATGAATCTTGAACGTGTCTGTCAGTAGCTTATGGTTTAAGGAACATATTTATGATGATCTGAGGAGATATAATAGAAGATTCCACTTCTAGTAATAACGTTCTTTTTTCCCAAAGGACAGTAGAAAAGGATTAGCTTTCTCATAACTGCTGCTTTATTGAATGCTCTTTGTTTACAGGGATGCTCTATTTAAAGGACTCGGAGACATTTCTCAATCCTGGCATTATTAACATCTTGGGCTGGGTGATTCAGTGTGGCGGGGGCTTCCTTGTGAACTGTAAATGTTGGGCAGCATCCCTGTCCCCAACTCACAAGATGCCAGTGACACAACTCCCCAGTTGTGACAACCAAAAATGCCTCCAGATCTTCCCAAGTGTCCCCTGGCTGGGGAAGAGGGAGATTGCCTCTAATTGAGAGCCACTGTTCTATAGATTCTTTTGTTTAAAAATTGCATTTTCAAATTTGACACTTATAATCTTTGATTAGATCATTAAAGGCCGTTCATCTTCTAGTTGACCTGTGAAGTCACAGTGAACACTATAGAAGATCCACAGAAGCTTCTGGGGGAAACCCAGAAACATCAGACCAATTTTTTTTTTTTTTTTTTTTTGTACCAGGGATTGAACTCAGGAGCACTTGGCCACTGAGCCACATCCCCAGCCCTATTTTGTATTTTATTTAGAGACAGGGTCTCACTGAGTTGCTTGGTGCCCAATTTTGCTGAGGCTGGCTTTGAACTTGCAATCCTCCTGCCTCAGCCTCCTGAGCCGCTGGAATTAGAGGTGTGCGCCACTGCACCCAGGGACCAGTGGGTTCCCTCATGAAGAAGGTGCAAACCGTCTCTGGGTGCTGGGCCTGAGGGCATTCTCCTCGCCTAGCGTGGCCAGGATGCAGGACCACATCAAGAGGGCCCATTGTCCATGGGTTGGCTATGGGACTGACCAGTTGGGCTTTTAGGATCATCCGTGGAGCTCAGGCCAGTGGGGGAGAGCCGGGCTCTCTGGCAGCAGCAACCAGGAAGAGGAGATGCTGGGATTAAGTGGAGCTGGGACAATTCTGTCCCCAAATCTCTCTGATTAAGATGGGCCAGAGCCTAGGTTAAAAGCTGAGAAGTTCAGCTGGACAGAAGGTATTTGGAGGAGACAGGGTCCCAGATAGAAACCCATCCATGAGGCTGTTCTCTACGGAAATGAAAATGACTTGGGATGAACCAAAGCCATAAACCACAGGTGTGAGGAGTGCATTCCTTGCCAGGGCTAGTGACAAGCTCTGCCTTGCCAGATGCCCGCCATGAAGTCCTCCCTGTCCTCAGCTCTCGCCTTTCTCTGCCCGTCTCCACCAGCCCTTCCTGTGTATTTAAAAAAGCAATTTGCCTTAAAAGCTGCAGTTTCTCCTGCACTGTTCTTAATCTTTCGCTTCTCACATTCTCCCTCTTGACATCCCAGGCAACCCGAGGAAATGCGAATGGAGAGAAGCACAGAAGTCTTCTCAAACTCATCCCAGGCCTGTTGGTAAGAGGCTGGCATGACTCTGTGATGTAGGACAGTAAAAACATTTCAGGGTTGGAGTCTGAAGACCCATATTTAAGTCCTGGCTTTGTCCATACCTGCTTGAGTCTTTGGTGCATCTGGACATCTTAGTTCATCAAACTCCTCATCTGAAAAATGGGGATCATGACACCTGCTTCCTTGGGTTGCTGGGAACATTTAGATGTCATGTGAAGTGCTCTAAGAACTGTTTGAGCATTGTAGAAGACAAGTACTCACATTTGTTACCATTGCCCTTATTTTGCAGACAGCACAGTAGTCTGATGTGGAAGCAGAATTACAGTAAAAATTTTTAGACTGAACTAAAGTGGAAGAGTGGCAGTAATTGCAACTGCAGCATACCAATAGATGAGCATTTATTCTTTCCCAGTTGCTATGCCGAGGGCCTTGAAAATGATAACTTAATTTGTGGAAAAGAAAAGTCCTATGACATAGATATTAATTTCACAGATGTGGAAACTAGGGTTCAGGGAGGTTAATTCCTTTGCCCAAGCTCACACAGCTTATAATGGGAGAACTCCAATTCAAGCCCAGGTCTGTCAAAACTCTGAGGTCTCGTTTCTTAACTATAATCCATTTTACTTAAATTATCCTTTCCTCCCCCAACTCCAAAGCATGATCTTCATTGTGATGCAATTTCACTAAGGTTCGAAATAAACCTCTGGTGAATTTCACCTTGATATTTAATGAAGGTCACTCAGGAAAAAAAATCCAACTTCTCTCTCTCTCTCTAATCTTCCTTTATGATAAAAAATAAAATTCCTCAGGATCCAGGTGCTTATCTGTTTGAGCATTGCAAGAAAACACATTTCCTAGCTGCAGAGGAGACATCTGCTAGCAGAGCAGAGGCACTAGATACTTACATGTAACCCTTAAATTTGTTGAGGTGGTTGTTGGGTTTCTCACACACGATGGTATTGCAGAAGTGCTCTGGTTGGAACTGCAGCTCCTGAGAGAGACAGAATTCTGTGAGGTTATTAAGTCCTACTGATTTAGTCTTAATAGGATCATCCGGAGAGCTAATCACTACTAGAACCATCACGAATAAGGTGATTCCTGCTTTGTCACACAGTGACAATTGCAACGTGTAGGAAGCAGAGTTAAATCCTCATTAAGGAGGAGAAAGTAGATATGAATGGAAATATGGGTGCAGAGCCCAGTAAGACCTCTGCACTGACGGTGTTTCTCAGGCAGGCTTGGGTTCCAGTCCCCAGCCCAGTGCTGTCCAATAGAACCTACTCCAACCATGGACATGTACATTCTAAGGCTGTGCTACCCAACACAGAGTCGCCAGGCACATGTGGCTATTGAACACTTGAAACATGTAGCTATTGAACACTTGAAGCTTGACCCAGGAATTGGTTTTCAAATTAAATTTTCATTAAAGTCAAATAGCTACCTGTGGCCAGTGGCTAATACATTAGGCAGCACAAAAATAGATGATCAAAATGAAGGGGTCATAAATCACACTACCTAGAGAGAGCTACAATTTATAGGCATATATATATATATATATAAAATACTTCTAGGATGTTAAAAGATATATTCACACATATGCATGCCCACAGGTACATTTATGCATTTCAAAAATGAGTTGGTGCTCCTGTATCTTGCACATTTTTACATGCTACAAATTTTGTCTATGAAGATCTGAATAGAAACCTATTGTGTGAATGTGCCCTACTACCTGTAAAAGAGCATTTCACTATTGAATAGTTACATTGTTTCAATTCATTTGCTATTCTAAAAATACTGTGAAAATAACAGCTAACAAAGCAAAATAAATCACATTTACCAGACTCTTAATTCTGCCTGACCCTGTGATGAGATCTTTACACTTTTGTTTTGGGGCTTATAATTACCCTACGAAGCAGGAACTTTTATCATCCCCCCCACCTTAAAGTATGGGAAAATAAAATACATGTATAAATACATGAATTGGCAAGAACATACTTTATATACAAAGATATGAAAAACTGTGCTCTATGTATATAATAAGAATTATAATGCATTCTGCTGTTGTGCATTTAAAAGAATAAAATTAATTAAAAAAAAAAAGGTAAGGGAGGTTGTCCAACGTCATACCATGAGTGGGATTTGAATTTAAATCTAACTGTAAAACCTCTTCCTGGGGAACAAACTTGTAGCTAAGTATCTAAACATATTCTCAACTCTGCTTATTAAAGGCATTTTAGTTGTACAAGATTTTATGGTATAATGGGTAAAACTCAGTTAGGGGCGAAGAACTGTTTCTAACTCTACACTCCTGGTTGACTCATTCTAGGTTCAACTCTTCAGTCTCAGTTTCCGCATTGATTAACACCACCTGCCCTGCCTGACTTACGCCTCAGAAGAGAGAATCTGGATGGAAAAGTTTGGAAATGTGGAACAAATGGAAGACAGTAGTTCTATCAGATTGGAAATGCTTACCTGGGCAGAGCTTATAGCACTAGGAATGAATTTATCCCTAGAGTTTCAAGGTACAGCTGTTCGAAAGGGCAGATTGATTTGGAGAAATGATAGCATTTTCTGCCTTTGTGTAAATATACTCTCCATTGCATCTGCGACGGTGCCAATATAAATAAGCTCTCTACTCACTTGAAATAAATTACCCATCCAGGAGTTTCTAAAAATATAGCCCCCTTCCCTCCAGGAATCGATCCTTTCAGGGACAAACACTTGCTGAGTTCTGAGACCGACAGATCATGCTGTAATTTGTTAGCTTTCAGACCCCTGATTAAGTCGTGTGCTCACTTAAAATTTTTTTTTAGTTGTTGATAGACCTTTATTTTATTTATATGTGGTGCTGAGAATTGAACCCAGTGCCTCACATGTGCCAGGCAAGTATGCTACTGCTGAGCCCCAGCCCTCATGTGCTCACTCTGACCCATACCATTCAGCTCATCGATGGGTTTCCACATCCAGACCCATTTCACAGATGAGTGGCAGTCAGAAGCCTTCTGCAGTGACTGAGGTCACACTGTGCTTTCATCACACTCTGGATCCCCAGCCAAGGTGAAGGTGACTCTCTGCCGTCCTCCTGAGGCCTCCCTTCCCTGGTTCCTGCTCTCCTTTCTCTCTGGGCACCAGCCTGGGTCTTCTGCCTGCCTTTCTCCATATCAAGGTGACTTTGCTCTCTCTAACCACCTGTTGCCTGGCTCCTTCCTTCCCTCTGCACCACAGACCCTGGAGAAGGGTACTCATGCCCTCTTGCTTTTGAGGACTTGCTGGAGCTCCCTCCAGGGAGGTTGCTGGGACACAGCCCAGGGATGGGAGGAACCGCCATGCCACACGAGATCTGTCAGTCTCTTATCTAAGGTGCTGCCCTTTGGTGAAGTCTCACTGATTGCCAGGAAGGCACAAGGAAAGTCTTTCTTCCAGGGAAGACTGTATGTCCTTGGTTTTTTAGGGCAGACTTACCGATCGTGAGCCCTTTGTCCTCGACACTTGTCATTAAGTTACCGCGGTAGCTTTAAGAGGTTTGGACAAAGGTACAAGTGGAGACTGAAGTAAAGTCTTGTGGTTGTTGAGTAACAGGCTGGGATGGCAATTCGCATCACTGAAATCCAAAGCTAGTCATCACCATCATCATCACCTTGATTATTCTTCCTTCTCTTCCTACTCTTGTCATTATTGTCAGCATTGATTGAGTGCTTGGTAAAAGGAACTAAGTATTTTAAACATGCTCACTTCTTTAATTCTTATGATTAACTATCACATAGTTTCCATTATCATCCTGTTTTACAGATAAAGAAACTGAGGCTTAGGAAGAAACCCTGCTTTTCCCAGTGTCTTTTGGCCAGCAGAATAGGAAGACAGGGGTTACCCTTATGATTTCGAATACTATGGTGTCTGCTTTCTTGACCGCAGTGTTATTGGGTGTATGAAGAAAAGGCTAGCGTGAGTTCTTCGCTTGGCCCTGTTTCCTTTTCTGGTTTTATTTCCCACCTTCTGTGAATGAAGTACCTGATGTACTAAGTGAATCCATTCTCCATAGAAAATACATAAAATAGCTACAGTACTCAGTGCAATGTTGCCTTTTTCAAACACATTTGCTTTTTAAAGTAGGGTACCCATGACGGGTATGCATAGAAGTTAAGGTACTAATTTGCCTAGAAAACATTCTCTTAAGGATTGCTTTAAAATTTAGTATTGAAGAGGCGATTTTGTTCCAGTTCTCCTATGAAGCCCACTCTAATCCCCATAGACCCATTTACTCCACCCCATCAGAATCGATTGCTCTTTTCTGGGTGCAAGGTTTATGTCTCTGTTTAACATACTTGTGTCTAGGTCTAGTAGACTGTCGATCTCCTCTGGGGTGGTTCCTGGAACACTTTATTTCAACAGATACACCATGAAGATTTGTTAAAGTGGAGTTAGTTTTGGAGAGCATGATTCTAGGAATGTACATCTCGAAAGATGATGGACGAGGAGAGAGAAAGCAGGCCTTGCTGTAAAGACGGACCCACACGTTAGGTAAAGTCTCAGGTCTGATCTTAATTGATATGAAGGAAGGCGGTCACTTCTTTTATGGGAATGCATATATTTGGTTCAGCAAATAAAAAACATCTTCAATATCTTAGATCCCACTCATTCATTCATGAGTTCAAGTGTTTACTGAATACCCATGTTATACAAGCCAGGAGGGAAGGAGGAAGAGATTAGAAACCAAATGAATTACTGGAGTTATAAAACACTGCAGTTCCCGGTCTTGCTTAGGTGTGTCCATGGCGGGACCTCTGAAGGCCAGGGAAAGTGAGCCAAAGGTCAGGGTGTAATAACTCCCCAGGATTGAGGTGCTCCTGGCTGACCTGTGCCCCAGATACAGCCTGAGACTCTGGGAAGGCCAAGAGGAAACCATCAGACTGAGATACATTCAGGTCACCAGAACAGGCTATTTCCCTGGGTGCTTGCCTCAGATTGTACATTTGGGGCTTGCTTTCCACTATTTTTCACAACTGAATATCAAGTTGATCAATAAATGTGGTTAAATAATATGTGCACCCATGGTCTTTTGAAGTTTTTTCCTGCAGTGGGTCATTGTTTGCTGCCTGCCTGCCTCCCATTCCACTCTTCCTGCATAAATATGCTTTGACGTTCTTTGGGGATGTACCTTCCCTCCTTGGTTCATAATCTTGAGGAGATTGTAAGTCCAGAAGCCCAGACCCTTATAGACTCTCTCCACTGTTAGACTTTGGATTCTGTGTAATGATTCAAGGAAGGAATCAAAAGAATAAGACCATCAAATGATTCCTGCTGCTACTAGCCTTCCACTGCCCTCAAGTTTCCTGGTTCTTATTTCTGAGCTCGGATCTTCAGCTACCTTTGATTCTGTAAGTCATGTGTGCATTTCTCCCCTTTCCTACCACACTCTTACCAATATTCCAGTTTGCTTCAGTTAAGCAGAATTGCTTTTGTTTCTTTTTTTTGGGAGGTGGAGTACAGGGATTGAACTCAGGGGCACTTGACCACTGAGCTACATCCCAGCCCTATTTCGTATTTTATTTAGAGACAGGGTCTCGCTGAGTTGCTTAGCGCCTCCCTTTTGCTGAGGCTGGCTTTGAACTTGTGAACCTCCTGCCTCAGCCTCCCAAGCTGCTGGGATTACAGGTGTGCACCCCTGTGCCAGCTGCTTTAGTTTATTGCAAACAGACTCCTAATCAATACAGCATCTACTCAGTCTGACAGGTATATTAAATATTTTCCTATGGTGGTGTTTGGTAAAATTGCTTTTCAAAACGGATATCCCTTATTTACTCCTTATTTATGAAGTGTTTGAAACTGATTAGCCCCATTTTATTGAGGTGAAAACTGAGTACTGATTATGATAAGTAACTGGCCCAAGGTCACTCGTCTCAAGAGAACTCAGGTTTGTCTCATTCAAAAGTTTGTCTTGTTTTTCCACTTGCTGCATTTAGTGCTGCCTTCCTAGATGATCTGGGCCTTAAA